AAAGTCATGTTCTTGCACAAGGACCTCATTCACTTTTACAACCCATTTGTATGAAGACACTCTGCTCAGATTACCTGAATGACTGAATTCCCTTTTTTTGGGGAACATTACTTCCAAAGACTACTATCTGCAGGAGAGAAAGAACCGGCTATCATGCCATCCCTGCACAGACTCCAATAAAGACCTTTTAATTATCATAGCTTGCCCCTTGCAGGGTATTAAGAGAAATATACCGGTTAAACATGATCTTGTAGGATTCAACCACAAGTTACAGTTGGCTTATTGGCCTTTCTGCCGTAGAACAGAGCACCACATTGCGTACGTAGAAAAAAAAAAAAGCATTCATTTTTATCAAAATACAAAATAAAGTGTTTTCTTTCACATAAATAGTTGAGGGTGCGGTTGGTGAAAAGAGGGAGTTTAAGTCCTGATGGATCCATGTGGGTGTGAGGCTGCACCCTCATAGATCTTGGGATTGAACAAAGTCTGGATTGTCATAGCAGTGAGTCTGAGGAAAAGGAGAGTCCATAACGGGAAGAGGTTCTTTTAATTTTTCTTGGTCTTCTTTGTGCTGAGAGCCTTTCTTACAGCAGCATCCACACATGGAGAGTAAAAGTTTGTCCCAGGGTGCCAATGAGTGTAGCCAGGTAGGTAGGAAATCCCAGTTCCTCAGGAATGATGGTAAACATTTCGGGCGCTTCTTCTGAATAACATTAATGATGAGAACTGCAACAATGACCACCAGAATTGGACCACCAACACCAGCTAACACAATCCATCCAGCCATAGACAGGCCAAAGACAGCCAAAGGTAGGATAAGGAAGGTCACGAGCAGGTACAGAACTGCAAACCAGCGGTATTTTGCTGTAATATCTCCAAATTTTTTGGCTATGTGGATCGGAATACGAAGATATGGGACAGCGTACCAAAGGGCAATGCCGGTGAGATTGAAGAACAGGTGGATAAATGCAACCTAGAATAAAGAAAAGAGGGTTCATGTATTACTGTGACAATAAGATTAGAGACAACTAGTATTTATTACAGAACTGCAGAATTCCTTTACTCAAAGTAATCAGTCTTGTGAGCTGATAGCTGACCTGTATTGCAGGTTGATTGGTGACATTTTAGATATCTATATAATTATCTCCTGTGCTAAAGTTCACCCAGGAGTCTTTGGAGCTACAAACTGTATTATACTTTGGTTAGTAGCTGGAAAGTTAAAAATAAAATTGCAATTCCATAAATTCATTGAAATTTACTCTAGGGCACATGTGTCAAACTCAAGGCCCAGGGGCCGAATCCGGCCCACCAGGGCATTTCCTAGACTTCTACTTTCAGATCTAGGTATTAAGTTATTACTAAAACCAGTGATAATTGAATGCAGAGACAATTATGATAAAGATTAGATACATTTATATAGTCTTACAGATACCTTTTCAGGGCAACCATAATGTTGATGCTGCCCACGATTAAATTGAGTTTGACACCCCTGCTGTAGAGCATAACTACTAAAAAAAGTGTCGATTTTGGTTTGCCCATGGAATATTTAAAATGTGAGGAGTTAGGCAGGTTTACGATTTAGTTCTTACGTCTTCCAAAGGATACACTTTTTTTCTTAAGCTTAACTTTGAAAGTATTGTATAACCCAAAAACGTCTGGCCAAAAATTCTGAGATATTTTGCAATGGTGGGAAATCAAAAGCAGTAAAGACTATCAAGGAAGTCCCCTTTATTTTTTACTGTAGGATCAAAAACAAGACAGCTCAGTCTGAAGCTCTCCTGAAATCCAGAAATGGACAGAAGAACCAGTGGTGAGCTGTTCTGAATTTATGATCAGTTCTGTCTACCAATGATACACACCATATAATGGTCAAATAATATTGTCACTCAAACAATAATAGGCAGCCTGTAGACTTCCCAGATGCCATAGAAAGAGCATCCCGGCATGCTCTGAAAGATTTTTTGTTGAGCAGAAAATCTCACTGTCTGGCAGACCATGCTAGGACATCTTTTGGTTGCAATGACCAATGTTATCTGTAACATTTAAAGTTATTTTTTTTGTTTTGTGTGACACATACTTTTATTATTGCATTGTTGTTTTTCCCTTAAATACTGTTTTATGACTTTTTTTATTACTTTCCACATACATGCTTGGGCTTTGATATTTCACTATAGTGCTGAATGTAGAGATTTTTAGATTGGCAATCAGGGGAAGAGCTGTATATCAATGCAATCAATCTGCCTCCTCGCTTATAGGACAACTTCACCTTTAGACCTTATGGCTATAGTAAATGTTTCAACTTTCTAGCCACGGCATGCCTGTAAAAACAAAACTCGGTAAATATGTTACTTCCCTGCTGCCGAAAATCACTTTAATCCTGAGAAATCTTCTGTTGAAGTCTGAAGGGAAGCTAACACTTCAGGGAGTTTCAATCTCCTGGGTCCCCTACAGTTCTCACTGGTTCTACCCTCTTACCTCTATTCATTACAGCAAGGGTAGGCAAACTCCGGTCCTCCAGCTTTGTGGAACTACAAATCCCATTAGGCATTGCAAGACTCTGATAGCCACAGGCATGGCTTCCAGAAGCAGATGCATGATGGGATTTGTGTTTCACCACAGCTGGAGGGCTGGAGTTGGCCTACCCCTGCACTGCAGTATACAATAGTGACATGAGGTCAGAAGAAGGAACAAATGACAGCTGTGAGAGATCGACACTTCCGGGAGTGTTGGTTCTCTGTGGACCTTTAATAGAAGATTTTTCAGCATCAGAGGCAGCATTTGATGGTGTGGGCAGGAGGAATGCAAAGTATTGACCTTGGCTTAAAATGTTTACAAAAGTGATAGAGTCTCTTTAACAACTGCTGAGAAAAGGGGCAGCGAGTGGAGATAGCTAAGCTATCGGCCATACAGGTTGATCATGGTGTTTAATGTGTCGGCTGACTCATAGACTTGCCTTGTGAGAAAGAGTAGTAAAACACAACCATTGTGTAGCACTAGAAAGTAGGAAGTATAGCCTGAGGATGTAATAAGCAAATATGGCAGCCCTCATTTACATATATAATGACAAATCATACAAACAAGCAAAGTTTTTAAAACCTTAACAATATTTGATAAGATTAACCCCTTCGTGACTGACGACGTACAGTGTACGTCGCCAGACTCATGAAGGGGTTAATTGTCTCAAACTGGTCTTAATGGGATAAAAAACCAAAACATTGAAACGACTTTAAACTACCTTTTACAGGTGCCCTCTTGGTAATATATTTTAATGATTACTTATTAGTTCTTGTACAGCCCCAGAACAATAAAAGGAATCAAAAGATGTCATACCTGCACCGATTCGCTCAGGGACTCCGCAGGGCTGGCTAAGGCCGCTAACACAGCTGTTGTTGTGGTCCCAATATTCGATCCAAGGAACAGAGGATAGGCTCTTTTCATGGTGATGACCCCAACGCCTGCAAAAATAAGACATCGATCATACAATGCTTCCCTAATTTGGGGAAATTTCCACTCACTTCCTGTTGGATCTCTGGAACCAGAAGTGAAGGAAATTTCCTCAATGGTTCACAGACAGCAAAAAATAAACTGGTGAGGGTTTTAACCCTTCTCTACGCTATCCAAGACAAAAGAATAAAGTTTTGTCTATACATGAACTTTAGAATTTGCAGGTGACACAGTCTAGCTGCAGGAAACAGTACCATGATGGAGATAAATTTATAGACTTTACACTGCAGTATTGTCCACTATGGCCATTGTTTCTGTGCACTGCTATCTCTATCTATCTATCTATCTATCTATCTATCTATCTATCTATCTATCTATCTATCTATCCATTAGTATTATATATCTTATAAGATAATTGCATTCATACAGAAAACTAAAAATATAATGAAGACTGATATTCAGTAAATGTAATTTGTCATGAAAATGTAAATCCAAAATTTGACAGGAACTGAGAAATCTTCCATGTTGACATACATTCAGTTGACTATTGTCTCAAAGAAAAAAGGCTAGCTCCTCATTGTAGAGAGATTTCCTCTCATCTGCTGTGTCTACAAAATAAGAAGTAAAGTGAAATCTCCACAGTAGGACACTGGAAATAGAAGCTGTAAATATACGTTAAACTTGGTCTAAAATAACATTAACATTGATGGTGCCAACCATTTGATCGCCGGCAGTACAGGATGATTGGACCTTTTGGCAGAAGCGATTAAGCTGATACAACAGAATTCTATAAACTGTACTATGAGAAGGAATATAATTACAAAAGCGTGGAAGTATAAATGTCTGTCAATGGAGATCACTCACCCATCAGAGGTACGATAGCAGCAGTGAAGACAGAACTACTCTGGACCACAAACGTCATTACAGCTCCGATGATGATTGCCAAATATCCGGTGAGCCAGCTGAATGGGAACGGGAAGTCTGTGTGCACATAGTTCAGAATTAGATTTTTGCATCTAAACCAAAACATTTTATTTGTTTTAGTTTTGGATAGAGTGGAGAGGGGTTAGAACAAAGGTCAGGTTTTTTTTATTGATGTCTGTGTCCCGATTAGGGAGATTCTCCCTCTCTATTTTTCCTGGTGACCATTCTTACTGAAAGTGAAATCCCAAAATGTTAGTTGTCATCAGAACAGTAATAGATGGGAAATCTTCCAATGGGCACATTAGTTCGGGTGACCCTGTTGACCACCAGAGATTTCCCTCTCTTTGGAGGAATTTCCACTTGTGGCTATTGGATAGTAAGTGAAGAGGAATCTCCCCAGTGGGGCACAGGTGGCAAAAATGGCAAAGGGATTATAACCCTCCCTTACTCTATCCCAAAAAAATGGCTGCATATACTGTATATTAAAAAACATAAATATAATTTTGCTATTTTGCAATACTTTTTATTGTCCGTAGATGTCTCTCTTTAGTTATGAAAAAGATATTAGCAGCACAATCAAGTGATACAGAGGTACTGTAAGTCATAAGGAATTATAAGGTATATTTTTTGTATGCACATGCTTACCATATGCTTACCATTCAGCTTTCATTTGCCCTATATTAGTGTAAACTAGGGACTAAAAGACTATGATTTGGTTGCTGTAGGTAGCAGAAATATTGTACTGCACCTACAATTCTTATCCACATGCATGTCATGTGTATGGAACCGAATGTATGCAGATGTTCTGCAGTCGACTTCCACTCATCCCCTGCAGTCCACCTGTCCAGCTCTGAACTAGATAAGGGCCTATTCACACTTACACATTGAAACATATTCATCTGTATTCACTTTAACGTGTTTCGAAATTATTTTGTGGTTTCTAAGAATATTAAATCTGTACAGACTGCAGGGTTTAAAATCTACATCTATCTGAAGTCTGGTATAATGAGCCCAGTCACACCTTTCCATTCCACTGCATTATCGCACTGTATGCCGCATGTTCAGTGCAGGCAGCCCATTCATCTGGATGAGATGCCAAAGCACCAGAATGGACAAAAAAACCCCAGATGCGCACCATTACGTTGCTTTAGTGATTTGGGAAGCCATTAAAAATGAATGACACCACATTGCACTAACCCCTATTAAAACAAACTCTGGAGGAAGTAGGAAATCAGAGTTTTCATTGATTTTCTTTTTCTTTTTTTAATGTTTTTATAAATATTTTTGATCCAAAGCTCAATATTAGGACTTTATCAAATGCGTTACGTTTTATAAAATGCGTAAAACCTTAGATGTGTTCTGACTATTGTGACGCATTTTTTTCTTTTGCTACAACATTCAAACTGCAGCATTCATCATTCATTAAAAATGTGTGTCATGTATGTACACCAACATGAACGAGCCATTTGAAATGAATGTGTTAAAAATGCGAAGAGACTGCAGACAGTGCTCTGGTGTGTTTCCCTCTTCTGACCACCTCTGGATATGTCTAGGGATGCACCGAAATTTTGGCTGCTGAAATATTTCAGCCACAAATAGTACAAAATGGGCAAAATGCCGATAGTACCATAATCGCCGAAAATGCAGCCTTAAATTCAGTGCATCCCTAGCTTCTCTCCTGCCCGCTGGATACTGCTCTGTGTCCCTTCCAATGCCTGCTGCCCTCCTCTGCCCGTGTTGGCAGAGGCAGCAGGGATGCGAAGGGACACAGAGGATCCAGCTGCCGGCGCCCAACGGGGAGGAGAGAAGCTTTCAGGAGGCCGAGCAAGATGCTGCGGGAGGACACAGCTCTCAGGATGCCGAGCAAAGTGGTGTGGGGGGAAGTGAGCGGTCAGCTGTCACAGGTCACAGTAACTCATACTATCTCCTCAGTTTATGAATGGACAGCAGTACTCAGTATAGAGGCTTCCCGGTCATTCATAACAGAGGTTGTGGAAAAAGAGATTGAAGACTGTGTCTTCAATCTCTTTTTCTATTTTTAAATGGAAATATCAGGGGTGTTTTTAGACATCAAACATAATAAAAAGGTTGGTAAAAAAAGTAATTTACGATTTTGGCCTGACAAAAACATTTTTCAGTTTCGGTCTAAAAATGAATTTTGGTGCATCCCTAGATATTTCTAAATTCACTAACATCATTGTAGGGGGAAGAAAGTGCAAGGAATGTTGAGAGGAGTCAGGAGGCTCTTTAGAAGGTGAGAAACAAAGTAATCTCATCTTTCATCTGTTTTGTGGCGTGGACAGTTCATAAGTCTGCTGTCTCCAATAGCGCATTCTAGAAAGAGTGTTTACTACAATAATCACATGACACACTGGGGTTGGTTTACATAAGGCAAAAATACTTCACTTTGCAAAGGCATTTGCCCTTTGCAGGGGAAGTTTCCCTTAGCGTAGAAAAAGAACTGAAGCTTTGTTGACTTCCATCATCCAATCATGTGCAAGCAAAAATACAGTTTTATTCTTTTCCTTACTTGTGATTGGGTATTCTTTGTCAAGTGAAATTTCACCACATTCACTAAGCTAATGGAAATTTCCCCATGCAAAGTGCAAATTCCCTTACAAAGTGAGCAGCCTATTTACCTTTAGTAAATCAGCCCCATTGCGCAGAGCTACATAACGTCATTTAGTGTGGCCCTGCTGGTGTCAATGCCTAGGAAAGTACCTCTTGCTAATTATAGGAGCATCATTGTGATTGCAGCTTTCTCACCTGCATTAATCACCTTCTTTATCATTTGTGCAATCTGACCCTTCAGGACTGAGTTAAGAAGTTTGACGATGAGGATGAGGCACGTGCAAAGCACAAACAATGATCCGATCAGAAGGATGAAGCCCACTGCTACGTCCGGGAGATTGATGTGTGAGAAAATATGTACGCCTGGTTGAGAGAAAAAGAGATTGATCATATATGTTCACAAAGCTGGCACTAACATGCTGTATTGTGTGCTCCAAGCAGGCCCCATTCACTCTCATTATGGCCAGGAAGTGTGAAGCATGAATGTTTAAGGTTCATTGTGCCAAGCAGTCTGTAAATGTCTAGAAATTCCTAGAAAATATCTGCTCAGTTTGACAGTACTATTTACATTTTCATAGGATGGTGCCTCTAACGAGCCTCTAAACTGCTGAAGTTTTTTTTAGTTTAGTTTAGTAAAGTGTTCTTGTTGCTGACAGAAAAGTGGCTCAAGGGTGAGTGGGGATAAGGCGCTGGACCACAACCTTTCTCTGGTTGAATAGGAGCAATATTTGGGCCTGATGGCTCAGTTCTGGCATCTCTTCACAAAACAGGGGACCTTTCAGTGGGGTGGGATGCCCAGAATGAGAAATTCATAGAAAGAAGACTAAAAAAAAGTGCCAGGTAATTGTCTCAAGAGTCCAAAAAAAAAACCCCTGTTGGCTTCACAAATGGCAAAAAGGAGACAACCAACATGTTTCGGTGGTCAGGAATTCCCCTTCTTTAGGGCTTAAACAATGGCCAGCATGACAAAAAGATGGAAAAGATCTTTGTACAAAACGCTGAACTGCTGGTAAAGATCTTTTCACACCAAGGATTCCCACTTCTGACTGAGAAATAGGATTGTCTGCAGGGGCTGTTTAGAGTCTATGAGAGTCCTGCTGTCCATTGTGTAAGCCCTGATAAAGGGGATTCCTGACCCCCGAAACACGTTGGCTGTGTATAGCTCCTTGATGCCATTTGTGAAGCCAATAAAGGCTTTTTTTTACTCTTGTGACGATTACCTGCTGCTCTTCTTCTTCTTTTTTTTTTGTCTTCTTTCTATAGAAAATGGGTTCAGCCATTGTTATGGTTATTCTGCATACAACTGATTTAGCCATTTTGTATACACTGATTTTTTTAAAGTGAATGTCAGTGCAAAATAAGAAAAATGCAGTACATCTCTGCAATACATGTACATTCTCCCATGTTGTATCCATTTAAAGATCCTGCACGTACAGCAAAATACCTGTTGATCTGTTAGAAATACACTCCGCTCCTATGTCCTGTTGTGGTCTTGTGAGCTGACAACACACAACATTTTTGTGGACTGGGTGGTATCAGCCCTGCCCAGTTGTCATTTGCTAAACTACTCAAACCCACTGACTATCCTGTACTCTGCAACATAGGCACTAATCAATCTGTAGTCCCAAAATGCCTAGGATTAGAATCCTTGAGAAAGCACAGGAAGTGTGCAGAGAACACAGGATAGCTTCAAATTTCTAAAATGAGCAACAGGTGTTTTTTTTGCACTTATCAATCAGCAGCTCAAACTACTGCTAAATATGTGTCATTGTAGAGCAGCTATTTTGCCTCCTAAGGTTAAACACACAATGGTATGGTGGCCTTTTTGTTCACTAATATTTGTTATTGGTGAAAAAAGACCCCTTTTAAAGAGGACTTGAGGTAATCTGTTAAAACGTTGTCCATACTTTAATATTTAAACTATATATCTTGATTCCATCTATTACTGATATCAAGATGTATAGCCTGACATGTAATTAATCACATAACGTCTCACACATCCTATCAGTCTTCACTGACCACATAAGATCTGGGGCATTTCCTAGCAATCTGATATATAAAGCGCTGCACAAACTGTTGGCGCTATATAAATCCTGTATAATAATAATATCAACTTACATCTCTCTATTAATTCTTGAACTGTGGTGTTACTTTCTACAAAGGTTCCAGTTGCATTGGTGACGCAGGTAACTGTGCTGCAGTTGGTAAGGTTAGTAACAGGGAAGTACTCGGTCACCTAGAAAAAACTTGTTAAAAGGATATACAAACATACATTTCAACATTACAAATAAAGACTCATATGTAATCTAATAACCTGCTAGGTCCCCCTCTGCAATATTTGGCATAAAATGGTCAGTGAATCAAAAACACCAGGAGGACTGAACACTTACATTTTTTACTTCCGTTTTACACCACCTCATGATCAGACTTTTGTTTGCGCTTTCAGGATTACCAACAGCATTTCCAGAGATTACAGAGCTGTCCAACTAGAGGGCACCAATAAGAATGTTTAATGTTCATAGTGTGTATCATATAACATCTACATTCACACATCAGATGTAGATAGATAGATATGAGGTAGTAAGTATGTCTCTCACCTTGATAATGAGATCAGTGAAAGGCCGCGTGATGACTTTAAGGATATCCGGGGCTTGGCCTCCAGCGTGGATGTTAAAGCTCTTCATAATGGCATCAGACAGGTAGTAGAGGTAGCCTGTTCCCAGCTCAATAGGCAGTAGTACAATCACAGTCATCCAGTTAAACATTCCATGCACGGCTGAACCACCGAAGGCCCTACAACCAATCAATCCAGATTGTTACTTGGATGCTACTCCAGTTATCCAACTTTCTAACATTTTTATACATTCAGCTAGGAACCAAAACAAACATAGAAAGTCCATTAGCTCCCTATAACGTCCTATATCACAGTGAAGTTGTAAAATCCCATCTTTAGCAACTTGTCAGGCTGTGCTCCCAATTCCATATGTCAGTTTTATTCTGTGTCAGTAAAATGTAATTAACTTCCGGTTCCGGCGCCCGATGCGATAGATGGCTGACACGGAGCTCCGTCCCGGCATATCTCCACTAACCTGTCTCGGAAGGCCATCTCTCCCTCACCGACCTCCGCTGCAGTACCGACATCATGCCCGTCATGGACCGCTATATGGAGCGCCAGCCGCGAGCGCGGCTGTCCCTCACTAATGACCGCTCCGAGGATGAGGATGCCACATCCAACATGGCGGCTGAAGACAGCCCACAGACAGACACGCACGAGGCTGCTGGGGGTGAGTCAGGCCTTGGGATGGCCCCGCTCCCCCTGGACTTCAAAATCATAGCCCTAGAAGTGGCTAAATGCTTAAAAGCTGATGTGGCCTCCATTATTAATGATTCCCTGCAGCATCACCTGGGAAAACTAAATGCCACTCTTGACAAGCACACACGCCACCTGCAGGAAATGGAGCAGCGAGTCAGTGAGCTGGAGAACCACGCCGCTGAAACGGAGCACACACTCGTGGATATGGCCAAGCAATTGCAAACCTTACAGGATAAGGTAGATGACCTGGAGAACCGGCCTCGGCGCAACAATTTCAGAGTGATTGGCATTGCAGAGTCGATCAAGACTCACGATTTACGCCCTTTTTGCGCCAATGCTATTCCTAAAGCCATGGGCCTTGACGGCGCCTGCACGGTGGAAAGAGCTCATAGAATTGGCCAGCCCAGAGATGACAACAAACCCAGGCCAGTTATCGTGTGCTACCTGGATTACCATGATAAACACACCATCTTTCAAACGTACCGGGCCCAACGTAATCTGGTGGTGGAAGGCCTTAAACTACTTCTCTTCGCAGATTATTCCGCTGAAGTCACTAAGATGAGAAAATCGTTTCATGAGGTCTGCCAAATCCTGGTTCATAGACGAGTGAAATTTGCGCTTCAGTACCCGGCGGGCCTGCGCTTTTCCACCGAAGATACCCTGTTTCCCCGAAAATAGGACCTACCCCGAAAATAAGCCCTAGTACTATTTTGGAGAATTGCTAAAATATAAGACCTACCCCGAAAATAAGACCTAGTTGTGACCATTTTCAGGGCCGGTGGTGGCATAAGGGGGAACATGACGAGCCGCAGAAGAGGCGTGAGAGAATCAGCAGTGCCAATGAAGCCAGCGCTAGAGGAAGCAGAGCCGCATAAGCCAATGCTTCCTCTATAGTGTCAGCTCCTGTCACAGGCGGAGTGATACCAAATGCACTCCGCTTGTGAGGAATCGATAGTGAAAGTGCACTTCACTCATTCTGGCCAGAGATTGGTTACCAAATTGCTCTTGGAAAGGTAAGGCACCCCTGATTGCCCTGATCACTCTATTCTTAATTTTGCCATTTTGGATTATTTGATTTGGATATGGATTTGCATTAACTTTGGCTTGTTGTACATTAAAAAAAAAAATAAGACCTACCCCGAAAATAAGACCTAGTGTGTTTTTTTGAGCCCAAAAAAATATAAGACAGTGTCTTATTTTCGGGGAAACACGGTAGTAAAATCTGGCGTTTTTCCTCCGCCGCTCAAGCTCAACGGTTCCTGGAATCCCGGAATGAAACATCGTCCTCATCTCCGATAAAGAGCCCACCAAGGAAGAAAAAAGCCTGAAGTGGTCCCAGGATGTGCGGGAAAAGTTTCCCTTCGGGGTAATGGATATTCACGCAATGGGCGTTGAGGTCGGATGCCTAAGTCATGCAGGTACTGTTTCATTCTACTCAATTGTTATTCAGTTACTAGTTGTTTTTGTTTTTTTTGTTATACACTTTTGACTATTATCGGCCAATCTTTTAAAGACGGGACGGAGAACACGCTCTCACGGTGACCAACCCCCACCGAGCTACAGATCAGGTTAAATGGGTGTCAGTTTGGCTCCCAACCTCCGTCTGTCAGAGAGCAGTCGCACTAGGGAAAAAAGGAAGTGCCTACTAAAGGATACTTTTTTTTTCTTATTTTTATTTTTATTATGTAATTTTTTTGTCTCGGAGTTGTTTTTGTTTGTTTTGTGACCAAATCATCGACAGTTTACATTTACTACGAAACCGCAGTCCAACACCATGGTCTTTTGATCATGGATCCTTCTCACCTTACCGCTATCATAGAGGGACAAGAAACTCATACTTCAACTGCCTGTTCATCCACGGAGCTTAGCCCCCCCGGGCATTACGGGAGCAACAGGACACCCGGTAATGCACCTCCTCACGATGTCATCTTCTCACCTTTTGTCTTTCATCTGATTCTGTTGGTTAAATGGGAACCCCCCTGAACATAATCACATGGAACGTCAAGGGCCTCAAATCGCCCAACAAAAGAAGGCAGATTCTTCGTCACCTCAAGAGCCTTAGTGTCGACATTGCACTCCTCCAGAAAACCCACCTTAAGGAAGCCGACATATCTCGCCTCAAGCAATAATGACAAAATTCTCCTTCTGTCAGATCCATCCTCCCAGATACCTAAAAATAAGATTACTCAGGAACTACATCGATGGCGCGAACTTCCCATTTCCATGCTAGGTAGATGTCATTTAATTTGGATGATCAGTTTTGCACGTCTTCTATACCCGATGCAGACGATCCCTTTGCTCTTACAACATAAAGACATCAGATTGTTAAACAAAACCTTTTCTAAATTTATCTGGAGAGGGAAACGCCCTAGGATAGCATTAAGAAAACTCCAACTACCCTCAAACCTCCTAGGAGCTAACATACCGGACATTAGATTATATAATCTAGCAAGTTTATTCAGACATGTAAGAGATTGGCTGCATGACACATCTTACTTCACCAACACACCCATGGAACAACTTTATAGTCTCGCCTTGGTCCTTATGAGGTGTGATCCATACTCTGTGGAGAACCCTTCCACCCGCCATTAAAAGTAACATTCTCCTCAGGGACACTGTGATCACTTTGAGGGAAGCTAGGAAACTGTTTGGAATCCTGGGGGTGGTGTCTCCCCTGATGCCTCTCACGTCTTCCCCGGCTTTCCCCGCAGGAAATGCTTCGCCGGTCTTCTCCCACTGGCGTACTGGGGGTATCACTACAATTAAGGACCTACTAAACCCTCAGGGACGTTGCAAAACGTTTGCAGAATTACAAAACACCCCTGTCGTCTCTAGCACCCACTTCCTCCAATACGCCCAAATACGTAATTTCATAACACACAACTTCCCACTCACTGGGAATATTTTGACCCAGGGGCCCTTTCAGAGATTGTTAGCCTCCCCGAAAGAAAAAATGCCACTCTCTGATCTCATCAGCACCATCCGCTCGACAATCCCCTTGAACTCCTCGAATGCCTTTCCCGCGCATGTCATTAAATGGTCAGACTTTCTTAAACTACCTCTGGAAGACACTGAACACCTGTTGCTAAAAGGATGGCTCTCCCTGCGGAAGACTATTGTTTGTGAGGTATGGAGGGAACTCCAATTCAAACTAATTCACAGAGCGTACTACGGATTCAATCTTAGATACAAATCCACCCCATCCGACTGGCTGACATCATGCCCCAAATGTCATGCTCCCTCCCCCAACTTAGAACATCTTATCTGGTATTGCCCCTCCATTCAGTTGTTCTGGTCCTCCATCCTAGCTTATATGAACACTGGTTCTGGCACCCACAGGGCCGCCGACCCAGCCCATGTAATTAATTTTACCTTCGAAACTCATTGCGATCTCCTGACTGTGCCAAAGACACCAATGTGCTGGTCACCGAGGTTCCGACGTTCACTCCCATAATGATGGGAATAGAAGCCTTCACATTTAGTACTGCAGGAGAGCAGAAGACATTAATTTTGCACATAGAAGTAACAAACCATGAACAATGTGGAGTCAAATAATCTTATCCTTAAAAGTTGCCCTATCCTTAATTTATTACCTATGACTATTGAACCTGTAACGTGACTTACTAAGAATGACTATTGACCATTGGCTTCCAGGTTATATATCTATCATGTTCCTTTAAAATTGCCTGAAGACAAATGATGGCCTACATGTGTTCATGGTATAACCACTGCAGGATCTTTCAGGATCTGGCTTTTCCTTGAGAGAAGTCATCTATTAATATCTTCAGAAATCCAAGACATCCTTCCCTAAATATACTCTATAGGCTTGTGTGAACCCAATGCCACACTTTTACTTCTCTTCCTAACCTCTATTCCCTTCCTTCTCATAAAGAGTCAAACGTCTTATTTCTGTTGCAGGACTGCATTACTCATGTTTCAGTGGAAGATCCCCTAGAAGGCTAATAATACAGAACATCTTCAAGAATGTTTCTATTTTTTACTTAATCTCTAGTAGAGTCTTTAGATTCACATATGTAGAATTTAGTTTGTGCCCTCATCAGCAAATTTTTCCTGCACTTCCTGTCCCCAGAGGAACCAATGGAAGTGAACATTCTTCAGAAATGTCCCTAATTTAGGGAAATCCCACCTTTAACAGTTATCATCTGAACATACTGTATATTCAAACTGGGAGGTTTTTTACTCCCTTTCACTTTTTCTCCTGTAACAACAATTGCCAGTACATACCATGAGATTTGATCCTCCAAACGGGGACAAAGAAAGCAATAGAAATCTGACAGTCTCAACCCTTTCCCATTCTATCCAAAACTAGATATAAGTTTTGGCTGGAAGTATATTTTACCTTGGGATAGTGGTAAAGATAGTGAAATGTAACGTATTGTTCTGCTTAACTTACAATCAGTAAATGAAAGATACTTATAAAAACTATAGCTGCTTCTTGTCCTTTCTTTGCCCTAGGTTTTTTGTTATGTAATCCATATAAATGCTTACTTCCAGAGGACACCATGCTAACAATGATGGAAGATGAAGTGCTTGAGCTTTGCACCAGGACGGTAACCAGGACACCAATGACCAGACCAGCAATTGGATTCGCTAGAATTTCATTATCACTGAAAATATCTCCGGTGAGTTTACCTGCAAAAGAAGAATAAAGTGGATGAAGATTTAAAATTGAGATGATGGGGCACTGTGATGATATAGATAATTATGCAAGATCAGCTTTGTTGACTTGAGGCATTAAGTTCACCAAAGCATTACTGGCAACTAAACTGGCCATATAACATCATCATCCAAATGCAATTTCAGGAAAACACCTTTTCAGTGAAACAATACTGTTTTTAGGGTCCCATGCCCTTATAGACAGGAACAAATGGATGATATTAAACAAAAATGAACTTTGTAGTCATTCCTCTACCACCTTAATATGCCATATTGTGTTGATTCTGCCATATTACATGCTGAAGTCAGATTATAGTGCTATTTAAATGACTTACATGAACACTTTTAACACAGGCCTCATTTCTCCTTAAAATATCAATATGTATCTTCTACTGAGTCTTTTTTTAAAATTTCAACTTTTTTAAAGCTATCTTTTAACATTCAACTCTCATGCTACTTTTTTTTCAAGTTGATCAGCTTTAGAAAATGTCTAAATACGCGATATATAGTTTCTTCAAAAACCTGCCATGAAAGATTGTGTTCATTTTGCAGCTTCTTTATAAAAAAAGGAAAGCCCACGATATCTTGACTTTTTATGTTGAATGGTTTACTTACTTCCAACTAGTTGGAAAGCTGAACTTAGAACATCCAAGGAGCAGATGAACAAGTAGAGTAACCCTAGGAGTAGACATCCTTTGACCAGCCCCAACACAACCCTCTTCGTTCTCTGTTTATTGTTCATGTCTGGAAAGAATATAAAGAAATGTTAGATCATTTATGTAGTAGTTAAATTATATCTAAAGCCCATTTTTGTTTTTCAATTTTGCATAGTGCGTAGAAGGGTTAGAACCCATCTCAGGCTTTTATTGCTGTCTGTGTGCCAGCTGAGAATATGTGGACTGGGACAAAAAGTAATGGGAAATCTAGAATTTTACAGTTCTTTCCTTGGCTCAACCTGTTCCATTGATAGCTGGTAACAAGAAGAATGGAATGGAACAAAGCAAAAAACCCCACACAATATCTATTTATTTCCTTCTCTATTCAAAACAAAAAAAATGTTATGGCTTTAGACATACTTAAATGAATAAGATGGCAATGTAACTCTAAATACCTTAATTTAGAACCCACCTTTCCAGGAAGGACCAGAGGGCTGAAGTTCAGGCAAGGCCCAAGGATCGATTTCTTCATTAACCTCCTCATGGGGCAGATCAACAGACGTTGTGTCTGTGGAATCTATAGAGAGACATAATGCTGCAAGATTTGTATCTGCTCTTCCAAAGTTTAGAAGTCAAGGGGTCTGCTGATTAAAGTATCTGAATAGAAATTGTTGCAACTAGATTTTCTATTTCTTAATTTCACTAACTGGCACCGGATCTATGCTAAAACTGTCGGGCAGAGTGATTTCCAAAGTACTAACCGTGACCTGCCAGTGACAGGTGTGGTGGGGTAATGCGGCAGAGCAGGACATGAAGCATCTGTTATGGTGAGTAACAAACACCAGCACTTAGGGGGAATTGGTCCCCCCCTTACCACCAATGCTGGAGATGGAGATTGGTCCCCAATGACCACCAGTGCTGAAAGGGTGGGGGAATTGGGGAGGAATAGTTACCCGCTGACTACCGAACATGATTCCTCGCCCCAGTGCCCAAGGTTTTTTTAATTTCCTTGCGTTGGCCTCCGATGCCGGAGCAGTGTTTCCCCCACAAGCATTTCATCTTTGCATTGACTATCAATACCAGATCACTTTTTCCCTCCCATATATACCATTTTTTCTTTCTGTTGACCACCAGGCCATTCTTTCTCTCCTTAACCACCAATGTAGGGGGACCTTTTTTTTCCTACTGAAGAGGAGTACATGTTATATATTCCTGACCCCTGCTCTTTATACGCTATGCTGTGCATGCTCCTAACTACTGCACTGTATATGCTATATTGTACTTAACATGGTCTTGACCGCTGTACTGTATATGCTTTGCTGGATGTAACATGGTTCTGACCACTGCATTATATAAGCTATGTTGTAATTTACATACTCCTGATCTTTGCACCCTATATGCTATGTTGTATGTTATAGAGTCTAAATCCCTGAATTCTATACTTTATGTTGTATGCTACATACTTGTGACCCTTGCACCCTATAGGCTAAGCACTATGTTGCTTTCTCCTGACCCCTGCACTCTATATATTCCATGTTATATGTTATATAGTCCTGACCACTCCACTGTTTATGGTATCTTGTATATTACATACCCATGGCCGATATGTTTTGTTTATATTCTGTCTGCAGATTTGGGAGGTTTGAGAGAGCACTAAAGTTACATTTACCTCTGTTCTTCTGAGCCAACAATTTGAATCTAAAATGTTCCGGCACTTAAATGCCCTAAATTCTGCTCGGTGTAGGCTCACTGGTTGGGAAAATCCCAATTGACACAGAGCAGTGGGCAGAAGGCCTACAAGGGCATTGGGTTGACAATTTGAAGATAAAGATCTCTGGATCAGGAGCACAGTCGTAAGGGTCATATTCCAACACATGATCTTGAGATCTAGGCTTCCTGGCGCAGTCCTTCAAATAGGCATATGGCTAAAATTATCAGAAGAAAAAACTGTTTTTGTTGTCTAACAGCCCACATGATTCTTCCCATTATGTTCCTAGTAGTACAGCATTGGAAACCCCAAAATAATTTCATGCAATGTACTGGGGATTTGAACATCAGGTGCATAATTTTCTTTACAATGTTTGACAGGGCAATTTATGACTTAGGCCTCACCTGTTGGGGTCTCATCCAGTGGGGGCTTTACAGGCGTGTCATCGATGCCCTGTTTCATGTCGGAGAGGGGCACCTGGGAGTTGTTGCTGGTGAATGGCATGTTGTAGGCAATGCTCTTAGATGTTTTCTATGTGTTCAGGTGTTACACTGAAAAAAAATGAAAATGACCCATTAATATGGAAATATTGTATGTAGTAAATAGATGTGAGAAGCCCATTCATATACATCAATATGTAAAAAATGCCAACGATGCATTACGGCATATGTTCGCATTGTCACAAGAAGTTTTCCGTGCCAAAATGAACATTGACCTTAGGCTCATGGCTATTGAAAATTAATTTTAGGGATATAGAATTTTCTTAGGGTAAGTTAAGGATCAAAGTAAATATAAACCTAACCAGCAACATTTTATATAAGCTGTGACATGTTAATATGATTGCAGAAATGGGTTTTAGTCTTTTTAAAGTGGACCTGAACTCCAAAAGGAAGATTTGTTGTGTTATAGGGACTATGTAGACATTTTCATTGTTCCTTAGCAGTATACCAAATAATGTAACTTTTCTCTTGAATTCCTTCTGAGAAATAGCAGTGCATTTCCTGGTATGCAAGTGTGGTTCATGTGCCTACAGCCTCATAGCTGTGTATCAGCAAGGTGAGACCTCAGGCACTGCTGCCTCTGACTGTGAAGGCTTCAAAATGAAGAAGCAAAATTGTGCCTCTACCAAACTGGCAGGCATGTAGAAGTTGGTTCACAGCGATCAAGTATACCTGACATTGGAGCAAATGTATTTAGGGCAGGAAGTAGCTGAAATAGGCTGAAGGAGACCGGCAGTAATAAGATGCAAAAAAGGTAAAACACCTTGGAGGACACTTTACAGGGCTTTTGAAAACCACATATTTTACAGTTAGGGTTTAGCTCTACTCTAAGCCTTAAAGCATATCTAAACACAAAAATATTGCAGCTTACCAGCCCTTAGATGCAGATTGCTTGTCAGAAATTTAGCGTTAGGTTAGCGTTATAAAGGCCAGCCCTTAGCCCCTTACACTTGGATTTGCCGGGATGTTGAGGGGACTTAACATGAAATGGGGATTGACAGGATATTTCAGCACACATATAACGGAAAATGTAATCATACTTACCGTAATTTTCTTTTCCTGGTTATACTCCATGGCAGCGCTGACAAACAAGCCCATCGCTGCCATGGAGTATGGCCAGGAAAACTGAAAATTTTATCTTATTTACCGTAATTTTCTTTTCCTGGTTATACTCCATGGCAGCGCTGGGCTCGTTTGTCAGCGCTGCCATGGATATGGGCCAGGAAAAAGTGCAGGATGACAAATCGGAACTATAAACTATCGGTGTGTCAAATACCCTGTTATACTATTTCACCAAGTGAAAAATGGCAAAAAAAAACACACACACACAATATATATAGATATATATATATATATATATTGTGTGTGTATATATATATATATTACATATTTTTAATCATCTTTCCTTTTCATATATGAAGCACTGTCTGCTTCACCTTAAGCCCTGGCCCTACAAATAACATTTTTTGTGGCGAGTATCTTAATAGATTGTAAAACTCGCTTGTTCAGCAGGTATAAATGCTGTTTTAGTATATTTCTTTACACTTGTACAAAGTACAGGAAGAGACAGGAAATTCCTAAAAGAGTTAAATCATTTATCTGCAGAATTCTCTCCTTTGTGTGTATTCAGTTTCTTAATGGAGAGGAATACTCTGCACTGTATAAGAAGTAAGAAAAGGCTGCATATGGTGGACACTATTGTTTAAGGTCTTGCACTTTATATGGAAGCAGGATATTTAAGATTAAAGAGTTATCTAAACCCAAAAGTATAAATGCAATTTAATGCAGTGTATTATTCCTGGGATTTGATGGCTGCATTAGTTTTCTTCTTTTACTTTATTTTCACCTGGTAATCCTGCCAGTAACACATGTTGTATCGTAGGGTGACAACACTCACCTACTGTACTGTATCTATGGAGGAGCAGCATTGTCACCCAAGGCTGCTCTCCTAATTTGAACTACAAACACCACCACCTTCTCCTTATCTCCATTACACCCAAAGGATCGCTGGAAAGCTGACACATTGTTTAAGATTTCAGATCAGTGCACATGATATTTTGACACATCAATTTTGACACGATATACAGATATTTTTCTGTACTTGCAAAAAATGTAATAAAAAAAAAAGAACAAATGCAGCCACCACATTTAAGGACTGGTAAGCTGCAATATATTACATTTATGTTTTAGGGTTTAGGTAACTCTTCAATTTTGGGGGCTTGGGTTTAGACATTCTTTAAAGCTGACCATACATATCACACCATGATTGTACAATCTTCAATTCTACCAACAAATGACTAAATAGAAATTGAGTACATTATTTAGGTAGGCCCTATATTAGATAGTTTCAGTAAGACTGGCCATTTACTAGATGGCTTTTCTCATTCAGCCCTGTTGGTTTAGCATGGAAGGGGGAATCCCCCCCCCCCCCACACGATGGAGGACGGTGTTGTCTGCAAACGTGTCTGGCGGGTGTTTGTGGCACATGTTACCGGCATGATGGCATCCCATCCTAGGAGCTAGGTGTGAGGCCAGCCGGATTAAGTAATCTATTCTAAGAGTTTACATATCCCTGTATGTTTTGCTGAGTTAAGAAGACATCTAGAAGTTTTTTTAGAAATGTTGTCAGTGCTGCTAGCTGTTACGGAAAATTGAGGCATATGTCCTGTTTTGCAGCGCTCTCACGGGGGGAGGGGGAACCCCCCCCCCCCCCCAAGGGCTATTGTATTCTGAGAGCGGTGGATGTGCTGTTGTCATTATACCACAGCAGGACTTGGCTAATATTTCGAGCAGTGTATGCCTAGAGTATTAGGCAGATATTCTACAATCAGGTCGTAACCTGAATGCCAAGCTTTAGAATTAGGATTGCTAACCCAAAATTGATTTTAATTATAGACAACTTCCCAAAGAAGTCACAAATTGCTCCTACAACTATGTAAATCAGCATAGTGATGATAAAATGTTCACAGGGGTCCACTTTAGTACTAATATTGCCATGGAACTCTTGCTGGTGGCAGGTACATTGCTGCCTTTGTTTGCTAACACGCTGCAGAGAGGCAGAGCGGTATGACATTCAGAGAATGGAAGGCTAGAAAATTCAAATTCTAATTGTGAATCATCCTACGGTGTGTTTAAGAATATAGCAATTTGTGGATACATTACAGAAATAATATATACATTAAAGAATATATATGTACTGAGAGAATATGAAGGCTGCTTTTGCAGAACTCTCCGCTGCCTGGCTGTCTTGCTGATCCGATTACTTTGTGAGGCATGGATGGTAAACACGTTCACAAGATATACAAGATATCAAGATTTCCTTCTTCCAGGTCAGTGACCCCCAGGCAGCAAGTTTTTATAGAACTAGTCCTGTATTTCTCAGAACACGTTTCCTTGTATGCTTGGCACTGCCTTCACGCGCACGGCAACCCTCCACACCTACAATGGAAGCTTCTGTGGAAAGCCATAGACCTAGCTGGAGCAGACCTTTGTCATCCCATGTCTAAAGCTGGCCATAAACCTGGCTTTTTCTTTGTCCTACCCAGCAGGGCTCGAATATTCCCTGTCAGCTATTGTATTCTGACAGCTGGCACACAGTGCTGTCAGAATGCATGAACCCAGATTGGCTACAGGTACTGCTCAGTTGACAATTTTCGGATCAGCTCCTTTAACAAAAGTCAGTTAAAAAATGGAGGGAGCGGTGCCAGCACAGCAGTGTATAGCCAGCTTTAAGGTATGTTTAGGGTTTTGTAGCTTCAACTATGCACCAAATAAACTATATGTTCTACAACATAATAGTTCATGTGACATACAATGCCCCTCTATAAGATGTTATACTATGTGACAATTCGTATTCCTCAACAACCACCAATTCCATTTTTTCTGGCCCACTGTGTTGTGCTAAATAGTAAACTTCTTTATGTCCTAATATGTGTTCCTTGGTGACAGGTACTCTTTGCATAGGATTACAGGCGTCCCATCATGACTCTGCCTGTGGCTGTCAGTCTTGATATGTCTCAGGGGATTTGTTGTTCCCCTACAGCTGGAGTGTCGAGGTTGCCTATGCTGATCTATAACTTTTTATAGACTAGCTGTAATTATTTAGCTGCTGACTTTCCGGACTCTTATTATTGTGTCCGTTTATTGTGCTTCATTGTACATGAAAGGTTTACTACAATGTAAACGCAACCATAAGCAGCAACTAGTTAGAAACACTCAAAAAAAAAATATTTATAGTTGATAATTCTGAATTGCAGGCAATATACCACGGCAAGTGTGATTCTATAATGCTAACCTTCTGGAATACTTATATTCCTATAATGCCTGAACTCATTGGATTGTATTTTTCGGCTGATTGTTTACTGCATGTCATTCTTCCAGGAGCGTATATTAAAGTGGAAGTCCATCCAACTGACAGATGCTGGAGAATGAAACCACCCGATATTTCCTCCAATCTCTCGGGGACACTATTGGTGAGATTGTCGTGCTGAGTTCCCGGGTCTGAACACCTACTCTGGTCACTGTGGAGCGACTACCACCATCCTTGCTAGATTTACTACTATCAGGAATGTAACAGGCGGAGCTGAAACACGCAAAGGTGGATGGAAAACCAAAACTACCATGTGGACAGGAACAGTACTGGGAACTATGGCAGAGAGATCTCCCTGTTGAAGTATCATACAAGGTAAAAGTGTAGGGGTAAAACAAGGCAAGTTGTGTTAATACAAAAATAAAATCAACTTTAGAAAAAAAGGGTGAAATAAGGAAAGTTGTGCTGAAACAAAATTAAATTGAAGTCCCCTTTAGATAAAGGCCCTATGATTTTTAAAAAAAAATTATTTAGTTTTGGAATATCATGTCTCAAAATCAAAACAAATACAAGCAATCTATTTCCTTACATATGCGAAGGTCCAAAATCCCCCCCGGAGGACACATTTCAGCAGATGCAAACCATCACTCACCTATGAGAGCAGAGGCTTCGGCTGGCCCAAATGCAAAGAGTGAAGGAGTGTGTGTACTGTATATAAGCTGCAAGAAAGAGGGGGGTCAAAGTTTTCTGCTCCATCAGCAAGTTGCCTCTGTTCTATTACTCCTATTATTAATGTTTACAGAGATAATCTACAGACGTGCTGTTGTTTTTACCTAGCCTGTGACAGTGTCCTCATCTGATGCACAAGTTCATTGCTGTGTTTATTGTAGCATATCAAATACACAACGTCTATCATTGTGTGGCTTTTGTGATACACAGAAATAATGTAAATAGTATTTAAGTAGCATAAGTGTTCGCACCTGCTACCGTCATTGGAGCACATTATAAAATAGTCTTAAAGTGATCTTAAAATCAAAAGGTTTTTAAGCTATTTGAAATGCTGATGAAATCACTTTCAATGGATGCTGCTCCTTGGTGTTTAAACGTTTTAGGTTCCCTCATGATTCAGCTGGTCCCCTGAGCACTGAGACTTCCTGTTTTAGAGTGACGCCTTTCTCAAGCAGAGTGCTATGGAGCCACCCTTGTGTGTGTTAGCAAGCTGTGTGCATCTCCAAAAACACACAGACACAGCAAATCAAGCTACCCCACCGGACCCCTCTCCTCCCTTACCCAAGCTAGTAGATGAACAGTTGCTAGAGTCTGCACTGTCCTTTGTGATCTTGTACCGGTCAGGAAGTTCAGGGAAGCTGAGCTGAGAGACTTGGAAGCAGCTGTTCAAAAACATGATGATTGTAAAGGTGCCCATACACTGTACGATTCTCGTACGAGAATCGCGGGAAATCCCGCGATCGTACGAGAATCGTACAGTGTATGGAAGGCGTGCGACCGTTTCTACTGTACGGTCGCACGTCTTCTGTCGAACAAGCAGGCTTGAAAAACTGCCGAGAATCGTACGGGTTAGTGGCCTGCTTGTTCGACAACTGCTGAACGGGCCGGTGTGCGCATGCGCACACTGCCCGTTCGCAGTGATCGGAAGCCTCGGGCTTTCGATGATCGCAAGTACGATCTCCCCGTCCAAGATGGGCAGATCGTACAAGTTTTCAATGAGCTTATGACCATCGCAAGACAAAGGTCTTGCGATGGTCATAAGGTGTATGGGCACCTTAAGTGTTTGGGCAAAAAAAGTAAAGTAATGCTTTGCTGGACAATGTACATTTGTTTGAACCTGATCCATTATTAAAAAAACCTTTGAGAGTTTAATACTAATTTAAATGAGAGCTGTCATGCCGTGGGCATAAAGAAAACATTGTTTTATAGGTATTAGAGCCTTGTGCTTCAACAAGAGAGACATAAGTGGGGGCTGGAAAGCAAACACTGATGAGTAAAGCCTGTATCTTTGCTCTGACTGAATGTAAGAAAAACCCTAATCAGAGCATTGCAAAAGAGCATCCTGTTAAATGTGACCACGCTGTACAGTCTAATTATTTTATAAACTGTGTTGCAAGAAAGAGTTCTACATCTTTTCATTCGCGTATGCCCTTCTTGGAGTTAAGATTAGTTACATTCAGCTGGACTTGTTCTGTATTGTTAATTCCATGGTGACTGGTTTAAGGTGATTGAATTAAAGTGACTGGGAAACCCATGTGGCTATAAATGGTGGGATATGAGGAAGCTACTTGATTGAGTGGCTAAACTAATACTAGCCACATCAAGGAATGCTGTTTTTTGGAATAACGAGCACAATGTTTTTGGGTACTTTGCTCTGGATGTGAGACACATGGAGTTAATATAGCTCTAAGTATGCTATATACACAACTTCTGCAAATGTTAGAAAACACAGCCCAACTGTAGAGGCATTCCAGAGTCAGTTCAGTGGTAGGTGGTGAAAGCCAAGAAGGCTACAGGCAGTTGTCAGTACGTGCAGAGTCAGGGTGGAGGTAGGCAGCAGGCAATATCGTTATCCTAAGACAGGGAAAGGTCTGGGCAAGTGTCAGGCAGTATTATAATCCTGATACAAACAACGGTCAGGGCAGGTGGCAGGCAGTATCGTTATCCAGAGACAGGAAAGGGTCAGTGCAGGAGGAAGACCGGAGAATAATACAGAGGCTGTCTACGGTCAGAAGTTGGGAATACTGTAGCAGAGTAAAACACTAGTACAGCAGAGCTCTGGGCTTGTGAGGTGTGCATAATGCGCCTGAAGTGCTACCAGGCAATGAGAGGGGGAAGTGTGCTGCCAGATCAGAACTATTTACATAGCAACAGACACAGGTCCTGTCCCTGGCAAATCAGAGCGTGGGAGGTGTCTCAGCTAGAGCCCAGCAATGAACACTCAGCTGGGGGGAAGGGGTGTTCCTCTGGCTGTGACAGATGGTTGAGCTGCAGGCTGCTGGGAGGCTGGGACAGATGGCATAGGACCACTTTGGGGAAATGACTGACACTCCAAAAATTACCCACCTTAGAGGAGGGGCCCCGAGCCAGCTTGTCAAGTATGGAATTGATGAAAGTTTCGTATTGCATGGCCTTCATGGGTGGAGAAGGCTGGTACCCAAGAATATTTCCTTGCACTGAATAAGATACTGAATTGAATTCTTGATTCTTGGATTCAAAGATATGTTTTAGTTTAATTTTTTTTCATAAATTAAGCCCTCATTTCAAGCCCTATCTGTAACCCTCACACCAGCCCTCCCTATAACCTTACCAGGAACCCTCACACTAACCCTCCGTGCAACCCTTCCACTAGCCCTCCCTGTAACCCTAACACTAACTTTTGGTCCCCTTGAACTCAAACACTGTCCCTGTAACCTTACCACTAACCCTTCCTATAACCCCTACACTAACCCTTCCTGTAACCATTGCACCCTAACCCTAACCCTCCCTATAACCCCATACACTAACCCTTGCTGTAAACCTAACATTGACCCTCCCTATAAACCTAACACTAACCCTCATTGTAATCTTAATACTGGTCCTCAATGCAACCCTAACACAGTTTCCCTAAAGCCCTCATGCTAACCCTCAATATAACCCTCACACTGACCCTCCATGTAACCTCACACTGCCGCCCCCCGTAATTGTCACAATAACCCTCCATGTAGTCCTAAGAATGAACCTCCCTGTAGCCCTAACATATTATCCCTTCATGTAACCCTCAAACAAAGCCTTCCTGTGACCCTCATACTAACCCTTCCTAATATAAACTTAACCCTTTTACATGGCCACCTCCTTTGTATCGGGATCCTTTACAATAAAGACCAACCCTTCCTGTGCCAAAGTACACCAGCACCAGAATATATTGTGCTGCTTAGGGCAGGTGACAAGGGGACAAGGCCGCACTTAGCCTGATCTTCCATTTGATTGCTGGTTATACAAAGGTTAGGCAATTCTCCACCAATGGAGTGATTGATCCAAGGAATATTTTATTTGCTCTTGACAGCAAATATTTTTTTTACACCCAATGAGGCTATATTGGTAGCTGCGTAACTTTTTTCTTTTGCCTTCTGCATGAATAATACTATTGGAGAAGCATTAGAATAGAGAGTGGATGCACTTTGCACTGTTTTTGTTCACGCTTACTATGATAATAATTAGTTATATATTTATACCATTTCAAGAACAACTTAAAACCTATTTAAAAAGAAAACATATAGTATTTATAACCATATGTATTCTGCAGTTTGCATTGGTATTCATGTATTTTATGCTCTTCATTAATAACCTTTTGCTTCCAATTTTGTTGGATTCTGGTTGTTTTACGCTGCGGGGAGGACACATTTTCAGTGCAAAGTTTGCAGTGGCAGACTCAGCTTTGGTCTTTTCTGCAGAGCTTAATAAATATATAACTTTGCCTCTGTGTGGGTGTATTCCATAGACTAATGTCTCGTTCTGCTTGACACTTTCTGTGTGAAGGTTTACGCTGAAGTCAGTGGTTATGGGTCCCTGGAAGACATCTGACAACATACCCTATTATTCAGTTTTAAATGAGAACTCTTCAGAGACATTCAGTATATGGAAATAAGAACCTCTGATTACTTGTGCCTGCATTTTATCCTTGTGGACAAAAAAGCTGTTGACAAATTGTGACCTACTATAACTCTACAGGCCTGCCTTTGATTCTAGGGTTTCCATTTCCAAAATACCTTTAAGCCTCTAAAATTGGCATGGTTGTTTTTGGTGCCAAAGCATGGTAGCAGATGTTTTTGGGACACAAAGTTTTGGTATCACTAAACTGATCATGAACACATTTTATAGGTGATGGTTAGCGATGACACATACAGCGTATAGAATGTTTGGCACTGTAACAAACATGCCTAAATTACCACAACTCTAACTCTAATTCTTAGACATGTGCACTGCCAAAAAATTCGTTTCGTTTCGTTTTAAATTCGGATTTGTGTTATACTATCACTAAGCCTAAACCGCATCTTAACACACTAAATAACATCTAGCCCTAACCTTACCTCAACCTAATCATGACCCCTTTTCCTTAATCTTTCCACTAACTCTCAGCCTACATCCTATCTACCGGATTCCTAGATATACCCCTGATGCATAAACTAAGTCTAAACATAAACCTCCAGGTAAGCCCACTAAGTCAGACCATAAACCTTAACTTAACCACAGCCTAGCCCTCAACATAAACCCTAGCCCTCAACCTAAACACTAACACTAAACATCCTCCTCCTAGTTAGTCCGAACCATTATGCTTAGCCTAACTCCAAATCCTTAATCTTAAACCTAAACCAAATCTTACACCCTTACATTTAAATGTAACCCTAACCTCTAAACCCAACCATGCCATTGCTGTAATCCTAATGCCAATATAACATTTCCTCCAAGTTAACCGATACATATTATATCAGAATATACACAGCCACAGTGACATACCGTACACCAACAAATCAGAGTTGTAAATCTCACACCGTAATGTCTGCCTCAAATACAGTTTATCTATAACTTTGCGTTATTGATAATGTTAGCAATTACTAATCCAACTTCAGGAACACCAGGGAAGGATTTGATATCTTTTAGCCTGAGGACCAAACACAATCAAGTGCCCTTTCATGGTTGGGAAAGATGTTCCTAAAGGAT